CAGTCTTTAGTTAAGATGGTATATGGTGGGGAGGATATCTTTTGCAGATAGGCTACTCCTCCTTCTGACCCTGTGGCTATAGGGAGATTTGCAAAGTCCAGGAAATTTAAAATTCATTTGCATCTCAACAGAGACCTCTCTTTTGCAACCCAATATGTCTCCATTCTATTGAGGCCACAAGCCTCATTGTGGCAGAGAACAATGGATTCTTTAAGAAGTCTCCATGTATCAGGCAAGATGTTACTAAGAAAACATCTTGACGAAGAAGCCATGGAGCTTTGAAAGCTTGCAACAAGTATATTGTGCATTTTGGTTGGCCAATAAAGGTATCATTGATGGATTTTTTTTAATTTACTATGACAATGTTTGGCTCATCAAAAGATGTCCAGAAAACAGATATGTATATCCCAAACACCTTCAAAATAAGGTGAATTGACCGAATAACCTGCATTAGAAAGGCAAGTATGGTTAAATAAATTTCATATGATTTATCCCATTGTAACATTCTCCCTTTTATTTGCATGAGGCTAAATTTAGTTTATCTGATTTTGCTTGTTGTTGTGTGCCTTCAAGTCATTTCTGACTTATTGTGACCCTAAGATGAACCTATCATGAGGTTGTCTTGGCATGTTTTTTCAGAGGGGGTTTGCCAGTGCCATCCTCAGAGACTAAGGGCCTCAGCAGACGGCTAATAGAGTTGTCTTCGAGGCAAGGAAGGGGAGGGGCAGCTGCACACTTGGTGCCCCTTCCTCCTCCTGAGGTTGCCCTCGGAGCCGCTGGCCCTCCGCACAGCCGGTGCTCTGAGGGCAACCTCCCGCCGCAGCGTCCAGACACGCTGCAGCGGAAAAGTCAGTGCAAGCTTTTGTGGTGCACTTTCACTGACTTATGAAAGGAGCACTATTTTTAGTGCTCCTTTCAGGGGCTGCGAAGGTGAGCCACTGGATTGAGGCATGGGGATGCCTCAGTCCCGCAGCGCACCTTCCCAGGGCGGCCCCGTGCCGCCAGTCTGCTTAGGCCCTAAGATAATGTGATTTGCCCAAGGTCACCAAGTAGGTTTACATGGCCAAATGGGATTCAAACCCTGGTCTCTGGAGTCCTCATCCAGCACTTAAACCTCTACACCAAACTGGCTCCTAATGTTAGCCCTTCTGTAAGCCACCTTGGGTCCTAATCTAGGAGAATGACAGCATATAAAATCAATCCGGTGTGGGTAGAAATAAGTTTTCCATATGTTGTTAGAAAGCAACTCTAAAGAGTCTTCAATATTCTCTGTATTGGCTTGGGCAGATAGGAATTGCAGTCCAATATCTAGAAGGCTGCACCTTTTCTAACCCTATACTAAATGGGTGAAAAAAAGAGGGAAAGAAAACACCAATATTATTCTACCAATATTATTCCATGTGGGATGTACTAACTCAGTTCTCAAACTTCCTTTGAGGAGTGCCAATTTAAATGTAATGAAATATTTAAAAATCCATGGAAGGATGGGTGAGAGGCTGCATTTGGAAAAATATTCTGGAATAAAAGCTAAAGTTCTCTGTTTACATCTCACAACTGTGACTAGAATTAATGAATGAATGAATAAAAAATGGCTGATGGAGGTGGGTTGTAATAACCATGGAATGTTATTAGGGAGCATTTGTAGTCATTTGGGGGTTTTCCAAGACCTTTCCCAATTTTTCAAGCCTTTTTATTAGAAGGAATGATAGAATTTTAGAGTTTCCAAGACCTTTCCCAATTTTTCAAGCCTTTTTATTAGAAGGAATGATAGAATTTTAGAGTTACAAGGGACCATAATGGCTATCTAGTTCAACTCCCAATTGTGAAAGAATGCACAAGAAAAGATGTATGGCTAAGCCTCTGCACCTGTAACCAATAGAGTTGTAGCTTTTCCCCCATTGCAACATTATATTGTATTAATGACAGAGCTCCTCTTGTTATTGTTGGTGGGCCCATCATATATGTTTCTCAGCAACTTGTGTACAGAAAATCATCATCATCATCAATGTACACCAGGTGCTGAGAAACATATCTACAGCAAGCCCACCAACAATGACAAAAAAAGCATTTCTTCTTATAAAATATAACACGTAACATCAGTTAAAACACATAAACAAGTTGAAATATGTAACATCAGTCTAAAGAACATATAAGACCAATACCTATTAAAACAATCAGTCCATAATTTAAAATTCACAAGTTAAAAATCACCTGGATAGGCCTCTTGGAAGATACTGGTCTTTAATGGTGTTTTAATTTCAGAAAGTGTATTCAGTTGTTGAACTTCTTCTGACAGGTTGTTCCATAGCCTAGGGGTAGCTGAAGAAAAAGTCCTTGGGGTAACAGTTGGGAACCTAGTCCTGATTGATTGAAAATAATATACTGGAAGTAATATACAGCTATCATGGCTAGTAGCTATAATTTATGTAATTCTAATTCAAAACTGTCCAATTTGGCATCCATCATTTGAGTCAGTTTAATGTTCTCTGTGTAGTCAAAAATAAGTCTCCCAAGTTCTCTCTTGTTAGATGTGCATATTGGTAGTTTAAAAACATCACCGTCTATGTATTGTGAAGAATCTCACAATATTCTGCTTCATTGGATGCTTCATTGGGTTCTATTGTCTTGAGAGAAAGACGGAAAGATTTTTTCCTTATTGTTATCACTGCAATGGCCGATGGCTTGATGCAAATAAAATTTGACTTGACTTTTCCCTAACCACTTACTGAACACCATGCAAAATACTTATCTAGGATGTATCTTCACTCACCTCCTAGCTATAATGACCCAAGTGTTATAACCTTTCCTAATAGGGGAATTGTTCCAGCCCATTGATGATTTTGGTTATTCTTTTCTGAGACTTTTCCCATTCTCAACTCTCAATTTTGCTATACATTGGGAAAATGATAACAATCAGTCATCAAAAGTGCTGACTGAAGGCGGAAAAAAAAAGCTTTGATCTGAGATGTCAAATTAGTTCAGGATCTCTTGACCAGAAAGTATAGCCTAATCCACCTGTCAAGCCTTATTAGCCCATTTTGTTCATTTCATAAACTTGTTCATACCAAGACATAAAGTATGCCTGTCCAATCTGGTCCAAAGGGATATCAAGTCAGATCTTGACAATCAAGAGTGGACAAATTGAAATAAGAATTAGTAGATGCCTGAGGTGTTGCCAAATTGTCAGAACAGTGGTATGACCTCTGTATTTGTTTGTGTAACCCACCAAAAAAAAAACAACTTCAAATGGAATAATAACAGAGGTGGATGGGACACAAAAATAAAAGGCACATAGCTTTAGTCATATTTCCTTAAAGGGACCTAAAATATATCTATTTTGCTTCACTTGTTTAATCCCACCATTTTTTAGCTTTGTCAGAGTCTCAGTTAAGACTGGATCCTTAGCTACTGTAACTAAGTGTGGCAATTTGTTAGTTTCTTTGTTGACATTGGGATCTTTGGGAGTTTTGCATTTGTCATGAAAATTTGACTTCCTATGATATTTGCTTCTGCTGATTCAGTCACTAATGTTCAATGCAATGGATTCAGACAAAGCTTCAGATGATTTTTTTTTTTGTGGGAGGGGATTTGTCAGAATATAAATGCTTATTTGGCTCCTTTAATGAACAAGAAATATAGAGATAGGGATGCACAAACTGGGGGGACACTCCAGAGTCCTCAGCATAAACAGATAATAAGTAAGCAAATAGAAGTAAGCTAGATATATTATTCCATAAGACTGTATAAACATTTGGTTTATAGCACCTTTAGCATCTGATCACTCAGAGCAAAAGCAGTACCCATTCTACTATTCAGTACACATTCTGTTGTTATGCTGTGTCAGCAGTTACCTAAATGGCCAGGGTTTGAAGTATCTGAAAGACTCCTTTCTCCTATAACAGTTTATCCACTCACAATCAGAGGCTCTTTTCTGTCACATTGCTGGTAGAAGCACAATCAGCCAGGGCACAAGATAGGATGTTTTCATTAGCGACACCAACATTTTGTCATATAAAAGCCAAGTGATCTCCTATTTTACTAAGGATAGTTGGGGGGGGGAGGAGTGTGTGTGAGAGAGAGGTTATATTTTTTGCCAAACAGAAGTTCTGCCTCCTGATAAAATGTTCTTTTCAGTCCCCAAATTTCTAGCATTACAATAACTAAAAAATTCAGTTGAGCATGTAGAAATATTGTCTACGTATCCAAAGAAAAGGGGCAGATGCGGTTACCAAGAGAATGGGAACACAGCAAATAGGAGGTATAGGAGTGAATTATTTTCAATGTCTCACTCTCTAGAATGGTAGAAATTTGGGGACTGAAGGAAAAAAAATAATTATGCAAGACAGAATTTTTATTTGGAAGGACAAAACCCTCATTTTAACTCCCACTTTGTTACACTCCCACTTCTTACTCTTTCAATGAATGAAGTCTTTTTAAAATAGTTCACTTTATCAGGTTCTTATCCTTCTAGACAGATTATGTACATCTATCTAGCTGGTATATAATAACAGCACAATACAAATATACATTATTGCAAAAAACAAAACAAAACATAAGTGCATAATATGGTCAACAGGCCATATATTAAATAATGAATTGTCAGGTACCAAGACAATAAATACTGAGTTGAATACAAATGTTCCCAACATGGGCCTCAACTTATCAAATGTTTGGTTTTTGGGGAAAAGGTATTTCAGAAAGAGGGTGCTTACATGAGAATTTTTTTTCTTCCTAGTGGTCTTTGGCATTTTAGAACACAGATAAGACAAATAAACTTTACCTCTTTGTATATTTTTGACAGTTTGTCTGGAGTCAAATTCCATTTAAGCATCATTTTATAAAAAAATTCATTCAAATCATATGAACAAGTAAATTGTAACCCTTTAACCCAAATATCCTCCCACTGGTTCTTTTGTATATTAATCACACATTATATTTTTTCAATTCATGTGTCTAATTCTGTTATATAAATCTAAGTCATATGGAAGCCTGAGCCAATGGAGGGTGGAGAGGGGCACCTGAGCTCTGTTCTTCAATAGAATTTGGAAAATGTGTATATAAATAAATGCACTACACTGTGTCCATTGATATCATTCAGCTACTGTAGCACTTCTTCAGAAACCCTTTGTGCTACCTGTTTGGCAGCATAGTGCCACTTTGTCTTGGTTTTCCATTAGTATTGCATTGGACATAATATAATGGGATAAGCAAATAATGAATATTTTAGATAAACAATGACTATTTCCCTGAAAATCTAGCATACTATATAGACCTACATATACAATAACACAACTCAGTGGAGGTGCCTGGCTTCCACTCCACCAAATGCATCTGCGCAAATAGACTGGTCTACAAAAGCTCATGCTGCTAATTGCTTTCTTTCAGTTAGTCTCAAAGGTGCTACAAGATCTCTCTATGTACAACTCAAAACAGTTCCCAATGTATTGTTTTGGATAATTTATATGGATTGTTCATTTCCCTCCATATTTCTATATATTTGTTCATGACAAGACAATAAAATGATTTCCCTTTCAAATGCTCCAGCATAAATCATGTTGAGTTTAAATGCTATATGTTTTATATGTTACCTACTTCCCTGCTGAGGGCTTGAAAGGCCATATAATACACTTTGTCAGAACAAAAACAGTGAACTCTGGGCCTGTCATGGTTGCCAGGGAGATGTCCTCTGGGCTGCCTCCATGCCCACCTCTTCCACATTCTCATCAGCCACTGGTTGGAGGGAACCATCAATCTCCTAGACAAGGGGTAGGCAACCTTTCCCCTTTAAGGGCCAAGGGACTTCAGCTCCCAGAATCCCAGGAGCTATTGGCCAACATGGGACTATTGGCCAACATGGCTGAGGCTTCTGGGAGCTGAAGTCCCTCAACCCTTAAAGGGAAAAGGTTGCCTACCCCTGGCCTAGACCATGGCTGGCCTGAATCCCTGGGTGATTGACGGCTCCCTCTGACCAGTGGCTGATGAGAATGTGGGAGAAGTGGGCATGGAGGCAGCCCAGTGGGCATCTCCCTGGCAAATGTGGTGCCACCCAAGATCATTGATTTTTTTATTTATTTTTGGCAGAGTGAATCCTGCACCTTCTGACCGCTCAGTGGGGAGGCAGGTAAGAAGTC